AATTATTATAGAGCCTCTTCCACGTTCTCAGGTACATAATGAAGAGGTTCTCCGCGCTAAAGATTTATGAATTTACGCCAGATACGACGGAGGCCAGCCTCTTGGATTTTACCTTTGTCAAATTAATTGGAAGGGAAATTATTCCGAATTATTTCGAAGAGTGTTTTCGAAATTCTCGCGGTGGACGCCAAACGTCGTACTTTGAACTGTCAAACGGAAAAGAAAGACATCGCCTCGAACGAGGTCACGTCTGGCGCCCGACCAAGGCTGCAGACAAATAAATTATGACCTTTTCTGTGTTCGATGACCCGATTTACATCTTCTTTTACAACAGATGCTAATTTGATGGCTCGGTATCCCACGGCTTCTAGAAATACATCGTCTCACGGGAAATGTTTAAGAAACATACATGCGTTTTCTCTGTTACATTAACAAGTAATGAATGTTACACATTGTGTTGTACAAGTATTAATTAGAAAATTACAAAATTTTTAATGCGACGAAATAACATTGACGAAGGTTCTTTCGACAGTTTCACTTGAAAGACGAGCGTAAAAAAAAAATACAAAACCGATGTATATTTCTATTACAGTTGTTTTATTTCTTACTTTTATCGTGATTTTGTATATTATGCGTAAAACTTTTTCGTGATGTATTCCACGTTGTTTGGAGAAGAGTTAGAGTTCTATCATTCCTATCAATTATACTGAAATTTATAAAAATGGAATGAAAGCAGAAGTGGACGTAGACGGGGACATGTCGTTAGTCGCGTGAATAATACGGTTGTGACTAATACGAGGGACAGACTCGAGTGCCAAACACTTCAGGTCTGTGACGGAGAAAAGATTCGAATACCAACCATCTTATTTGACGCCCACATATTTACCGTTGACTTCGGTCAATGGCGCGTGCATTCACGTTGACGCACGTGCGAAAGTTTTGTGCGTAATCTTTCGACATATACTCGGTGTCGTGAATATTTTAACATATAAAGTTAACTTTCAATGTGCCTGTCATATTTCAATTACATTCACATGTCATTCTTAAGATTGTAATTCGACATATATAAGTTCTCATGTGATACATTAAACACAAGATTAAAAAATAAATTATAAACCATAAACTTAAGAATTACATTAACAGCCCATTGCGCTTTGTGAGACAATATTTTGTTCGCCGTAAAAAAGAAATAAAATTGCCATAGTACGTAAATGCAATCAAATTGCATCAAATTAAATTGAATTGAATTGAATAGCATTAAAGCATCAAATTAAATTAATTTGAATTGAGAGGAAACTCTAGAATTACGTTTCAAAGATGTGTTATTTTTCAATTTATGTCTCAGGAACTTACGTGCTAAAATATTCACGGTGCTAAGTATACGTGTTCGAATTTCAACACATAAATTTTGTTATTGGATTTTATAATTGGACATTCTTACATTATTCCGCGGGTACGATTGCGCGAGAGGCTTGATTAATTTCGGATTACTGCGCTTCTGTGCTAGGCTGGGCCAGGTGATGCAGGAAATGAGCTTGGAATGTCATTCGAGCGATTTTACGACTTTAATTTGGCTTTAGTTACATAAGTCCGTCAACATAGATTCGCCTAATTACTTCGAAATCTGGCGCGGCGTGCCAGAAACGAACGTGTATATCACGAATTGGAGAAATATCGCTTTGAAACGCGAAAGCTCTGAATGTCGATTATGTCTCATAAACAACGTCGTGTCCGACTTTGGATAACTCCGTCGTGATTTCCGAGGGAAAACGACTCCTTGAAACGCCAGTTAATAGACAGGAAATCAACTGTACGTAAGTAACTTTTAGAACGCCGCAGCAAACAGGAAGACCTAGTTTAAAGCCAGCAAAAGCCTTTCGAAGTTTATTTCTTTCGTGAGTTCATACAGGAAGTACAATTTATTTCGCCGTTTTATTTAGGCGTCATAAGTTTCAGGTGTTGGTCGTCAGATTATCGTTTCTCACCGATTATTTGTAGCACACGGTCGATCGCTATTCTCATGCGTTATCCTAGGCCAGGACATACTTTCGCTAATTGTGATTCATTTCCAATGCGAGCTTCTTTCATCGCGAATGACAAGCGGAACGATATAATTCGCGGACGGGTCGTTGCCACCGGGGAGGGTCACGGGTACGTTAATTTATAGAATCCTCCACGCACGTACGCGACGATCGTTATACGGTTTCTGGAATTTTAAATAGTATATTTATAACTCCGGATCTCTAAATTGGTCCCAAAGATTTCAGCCACAGATATCGTACTAAAACTGAAGTCTCTCATTCCGTCCAACTGAGTTGACTTCTTCCTCGATTAAAGTAGACGAATAAGAATAGGTTTTAGGAACTTGCAGAAGGAATACTGTTGTCGCCAGTAGTTAATTCACCAAAGGAAGAATTGTTATACGACTGGCAGGTGGTTTATTTAAATTGTTCCGACGTTTCGTCCATCCGGGTTGTGGTCCTTTTCAAGGAAATTAATTAATTAATTAGTCATAGCTATGATGTCAAAAAGACGTTGACGTCTTTCCATGTTGGTCGTGCACGTCTATCCGACGCAACGAACACAGTAGGTCCGCTCTGTCATTTGTTTCGTTTTGCGCCGGTCCCTTCCGCGCATCCGACATTGTTCTGGACGGACCAATGAGAGAAAACAACACATAAGAAACGGCCAATGCGGGACTAAGGCAAGGTGTAGGTAGCCTATACTTGTAAAGAACAAAGGTGGAGAGAAAACTGCACATGAATTCACATTTTACTAAAATTACAAGTCTAAGCTACCTACATCTTGCCTTAGACCCGCATTGACCGTTTCTTAGGTGTTGTTTAGTTTTATTCAGGGTCCTACTTTAACTCAAATGACAGAAAAGTTGTATGTGCGGTAGTGTGGCTTTGATGAGTACGAATACACACACGTCGCTGGATCCTGCCCGTGTGTATGGCGGAATACAGAGAGTGGACCTTACTGATTATACTATAGTAGGACTTCAGGACTTCAGTGTTAATCGACAGATTATTTGTGTGCATATTCACGTACTTTTCGAATCTTCGTTTGCTCCGCAGTTATTTAAGCTAGTAGCTGAATCACTCGCCAAACTTTCTTTATGCACAGTGGATTAAGGGAGCTATTTTCAAATGAGTTTCACTGTTTTAATTTCCAGTGAATGTTTCCCTGCCGGAAATAATTCTACAAAATTCTGCAAGAAAAAAATATACTGCCAGAATCTAAGAGATTCTACGTAAATTTAAAAAGTATTATAAAAATCGACATGAAAACGATAGAATTGGAACACTTTTGTTAATTTTTGTTTTATTATAAATTTACGTAGAATTTCTTAGATTCTGGCAGTACATTCTTTTTTTTGTAGAATTTTGTAGAATTATTTCCGGCAGGGTTCTTACGACATAAATTCCATTACGCTTACGTATCCGCGTTCTTGGGCTTGTATTGCCACTACGAGGGTATCGTGACGTACTTGTACGCGTTCGTTGATGAGAGGAGAAACAGATCTAATTCCGGAGCGCGTGTTTCAGGAGTGCTGAAAATGCGACGTCATAAGCGTCAGCTTCACGAAGCTCCTTTTACGGGTGATCATCGCTGCGATGTTTGCGTGGTATTTCTCCGAAAGAAATATTTATGCAAGATGGATCTGCATTCTATCATAAGTTAAATTCTTGCAAGAGTCATATAAATATAATAATTAGGAAAATGGCGCTTTTCTTCAAATTTCTCCTTTCAATTGTGGCTCTCGAGCCGTGAGTCAAATATTTCCAACTCCCTCTTTCTCTCTTCTCTACCTGATATATAATTAACAAAATGATTCACGTGTTGTTGCGTTGCGTATTGCCGCGTAAGTAGAAACACAACTCGATAACGAGGTAGTTTCACGACTGATGGATGAAGCGGCGAATGTCACGCACGGCGGAGAATCCGCAAATCTATCCCGATTCCTAGCCGATAAATTAAGGACACGCGGGAGATTTGTAAGGTGTTTTATTAATGTGGACTACCTCGTTGCCTACGCGATTTACGCGCATTTGAGCCCGCGCGATTCAGCTCGTATATCGTCCGCCTGTCAGTGACAAATTGCCGTCGGTCAAACATTAATTTGGGAGATTAAATTCGAGTTCGCTGTTGAGTACACGTTGCACTCGTCGCCCGCTAGGCACGTGTACTCAGGTTTCCTGAATGGCCACGCGATCGTCATGCAAAGGCCACTAATTTCGGGGAACGTGCACGCGATCCCGATATAATTGCATCGCCCATCGATTTATGGTCCCTCGTGCAACACCGAACACCGATGCTTAAAATTATTTACCTGCGATCCGTTCCAGGTTTATGCTTCACTCGGCCACTGTAATTAGTCGGGAAGTAGATCTCAGGATCCCTTTTTCGGGAGTCAGAAGTAAATATTTTATATAGAAAACTTATATTGTTGACTATCTTTGTACTATATCATTTTAATCGGAAAAGATTTGAGTATCCAAATTAAATATAACATGTAGAACAAACAAAAATGCATTTTGTGTAGTAGAACTTATTTTATATAAAAAAAAGAGATATAATGTTTGAAAGGCTGTTTTCCTGTATTCTGTATTAACATTAAACTGTGAAATTACGATAACGAAATGCGATTGGCAAGTGGAACTTATGACGGCGGATACAGAGTGACATTCGCGGAAACGTTAGCGCAGGAAGCTGTGTTTCCTGCGAATATCGCGGGCGAGGTGACCGGTAAACAAACGGGATGAGTAAGAAACCCGTTCTGTTTGCGAAGTGATTCCCGAAGGCACGGAATGAAACCTGGACGAATCCACGCTCGCGATTGACGAATTATCATTTCCGGAGCGCGCAGAAGGCCGTCTGGCAACCAATCAAGAGTCTGGGAATCGGTTCGGAAGCGTGGCAAATATTTCGGACAGCGCCGAAATATCACAGCAGGGTGGGAGCCCTTGGGACGCCGTCGGTTTCTTATAAAAAGAGATGCGCGGCGTCGCGACGCCGTCGTATTCGCGCCGGCAGTGTCGAGTGAACTTGGTACCGGAGTACCGGAAGTGGAAGCGGGGTGTCGGTATCACTTGAGTGAAACCAGCTGCCTCTATCGCAAGTCAGGCTGATCTCTCGCGACTTCGTTGAAATAATCGCGGCACTATAATGTCTTCGGCAATGTATGTGAGTATCGTATCGAGAGATCTTCGATG